AAATATTTAATTATTAATATAAATTAGAACAAGAAAGGCCAACAACTTTCCTATGAAGAAAAATAGACCAAAGTAAGAAACAAAATAAAAGTGAAGATCAAGCTTTGTAGAGAATTAATTAATATGTTGTTACCTCTGCGATTATGATTATTTCAAGTTTGTAACTAATGAAAAGATGATGTATAGCATCGTCAGTAAGTTACTAATAACATATTGGAGAAAGTAATAGTTACTTTTTGTACAAATCTGAGCTACGATCAGTTTACCAAAAAGAAAATCTTGTAGACTCTCTGATCTGAAAAGAAACAGAATAAAATGGAAACACTGACCTACCTATTGTAACAAACTCTCCCATAGGTTACTTATGTCTTCTACTATTATATACTGAAATGATCAAAATTCCGGTTTATACTGAAATGATCGTACTAGAATCAAACATCACTTCTCTTGAATATATGAGGGCCAAAAATTTTGAGTGTTGTGGGAATATGAAAATACCTAATTTAATGATTCTTCCAAATCATGACTATAAGAGTTTGTGAAAAGGTTACAGTCAAAAAAATTATTATTTTATATCACTAGAAAGCAAACTATATCGAAAGAAAATAATTTTTTGTATTGAAATTAGGAAAAATTTTATTATTTGAAACTCATCACATTGTGTATACGCCTAGTAAATCTCATCATTTAGAGTTTTCAGTAAAAGTAAACTAAATCGATTACTATATAATTCCATACCACACAAAATATTTTTACCCATCAAGCTTTAATAACCCACACATAGGTGCAGGCATTAAAAAAAATAGGTAAAAAATAAGTAATAAATTTAATATATATAATTATATAAATAAGTAATTGACTTATCAGTAATATATTGTAAAAATTTTTAGTTTGTGAAAAAATGGGACTATGGTTTGAAAAATGTACATAGCAAAAAAATAAAAACATATTTGATAAAATATTTAAAAAATCTTAAAATAAAAATTGAAATGATTCTTTGGTTTCATTTGTATTCATAATCAACTAGTTGTTATAGTTGTTTAATACTCATTCATCACCCTTTCGCCCCGTTCCTGTTCGTAATTTTCGCTATATAATTGGAATTAAATTTACATATAAATAAACTTCATATTCTTATTTATAGTGAGACAAGATAGGATGAAAATTAAAAAAGAACTTAAATACTCTTTCTAATAATCCTCGATTCACCGCAAATTTCACACAAACACTTTCAACTTGTAACATATTTTTGATTTTGTGAATATTCCCGCGAAAAAGTGAATTCAGAAATAACATTTCGCCAAAAACTTTAACATTAAAAAATGTTGATTCCAAAAAACTTCTGTGAAAACCTGATTTTATGAAATTTTCTGCCAAAAATATGAAAGTAATTATAACTTTCTCCACCATCAAACATGTTATTTTTAGAGTTTTAATTTGATTTCGTGCCAGATATTTTTGAATCATAAGTTTCTTTATGCCAAAAATGTGAATCTCATCAATATCAAAATATATGATTTGTGTTAAAAAACGTTTTCCGTCAACGAATTGGAATACATAGAAAAAATAATGTGGCATGCTGTCAAAAAATTTACTTTAATAATTGATGATTAAAAAAAAATCGTCAATAATTTGACTCGCGTTTTTTTCGCCAGAAATTGTTCCATTTCAAAAAATTTATATCCAAATTTGCAGCACAATCAAAAAAAAACTTTAGGCCAAAAATAGATTGCCACAAATTTTCTGTCAAATTCTTGAAATGCCTGTAAATTTTTCTGACCAAAGTTTTGTGTCGCAGATGCTGATTTTAACATCTATTTGACAAAAAAAATATATATTTCCAAAATTTTCGGTTTTAAAAACTTGAATACTTAAATTTGTGTTTATCATGTTATATACTGGACATTAAATAATAATAAGGTCACAAGTCCATGTGTACCTATAAAAAGTGACATGTCACAATTACTCCATCATTTACACGTCATTATTTCCACATCACATGTTAATTGTTTTTCAAGTAAGTAAACACATCGTGTCTGGGCATGTAGGCATAGTTAACAAGGAGAAACATACAAAGAAATTATACCAGGTGGGTCCATTTTGCTATGTTGTATTAAACTCAAAAAAATATATTCTGATATATTTGAGTAATGCTCTTAATTTCATATCTATAATTTCACAATATATAATATCAAAAATGTAATATATTTTCAGTTAGACCATATATATAAGTATATAAAAATCAAAAATTGTAGGATGATACAGAATGAGAAACAAGTAGCATTGAGGAATTACCCAGCAAGTAGATTGGGTCGAACGTATAAAATTATAGACCATAATTTGCTAACTTTAAATTTAGGGTCTTATAATTCAACGCTGGATCTGATTTTCATTGTACTATAAACAAGTGTAAATATATGAGATAGGTTTAAATATTATATTTTATATATAATTATAGTGTTAGTGTATAATTAACATTTTTAAAATTATTCATACCCGCACATGTGTGCGGGTCATTTCCATAGTTATAAATAAAAGTAAATAATCATAATTTGATTTAATTAACTCTTTCCAAAAGTAAATTCTCAATCTAGACTCTTTCAAAAAATTTAGTATACAATAAATAATATTTGATATTTAATATAATACAATTATGAGCTAATTGAGAATTTATTAATAATTTTAATAAAAATGAAATTTATTGTGTTTGATATATGTTAATAATATAAGTAATTTAATTTATGGCGCATTCACTAATATAAATTTAGATATAAGTGAATATACTAATTCAATTTTTTTTAATATATATATATATATTCAAAGATTTTGAGTAGAAACGATAATGACACTTTTGTCTAATAAATCATCAATGTTTAAACTTATTTGGAGTAAAAATAATATATAATATAGGTGATAAACATCAATATTTTTATAAATGCTAATTATAATAAATTTTATTTTGTCACATTATTTTTATATAATCAATCATAGCAAAAACGCATCAAAACTCTAACCATATCACATCTTAAATTTAGTATTCCGGGCTTTATTATGATATACACTATACTCCCTAACTTACTATTTATCATATATTCAATTATGCTTTATTATTATATTTTATAACAATATTTTTTTATTAAAGATTTTTGGAACCAATAATTATTCTTTTCTTTTACAAATCGTAAGAGATAATTTATGGATATAATTATTATTTTTTAATTAAAAATATAAAAATTTGTGACTTTTTTTTTATGGAACTTGTTACCTTGGACTATGAAAATCAAGCTGCTCTTGCTCTCAAAGTTGTTATTTGCCACTGGAGGAGGGATGATGCCATGTCTTGTGGCATGAGTGTTTGGTGCATCCCCTACGCCAATAACTCTAGCTGGTCTAAGCGGATGGACTGGAGCTCTTCGATTTTCTCTTAAGAGTACCAGCTAAGCCCTAAGGTCCTTGAGTCCTCTGAATTCCTTGTGGTCCTTGTGCACCAACAACAGCTTGTGGGTCATTCATGTTGACCACCCTTGCTATGTTTCTTCTTACAAATCTGTCAATGTTATCCAAAAGTGGCAGGAGATGTTCTGATCCTTGTGATCTCAGGTTCATACACCTGAATAGACAAAGTCAAAGCAAAACCAGAAGTATCAAGATAAATAGTAAACCTAGTCTCACAGAAAAATAAAATCTTTATGATCAAACAAATCCAAATAGGCAACATGGCCTAATTCATACAAGGCCTTTTCAGTCTTGTGGCTCAATTCCTCAAGTGATAACCTCGTATTTTTTACCTTGTTTTAGCATGCATTTTAGTTTAGATTTTGTTTCCTTTCATGCATTCATTCTTCATGTTTTGTTCACTTTTGCACTTATCTTAGACATATTAGGTTTTAAACTAGGCATTGCATAATTTGCATGGTTTAGAATCTTTTCTGGGTCTAAATAGAGCTATGGAGGACACTTGGAGAATGGTGGATGATGTGGACATGAAGAACCAATCATAATGGCCAATATGACGGGTTTTAGGCTGCACCAAAGTCCTGTATCGACCAAAGCTGAGAGAAACCTGCCCGATATGAAATGTATGGTTCCAAACGAAGGTCTTACGGTGCGATTCAGCCTCCAAGTTCTTCATCTACGTTGTAGAGGATCGCATAAGCTTTCCACAAAGGTTGAATAAGGTCAATCCAGTCATTGGTTCAAAAGATACGGCGGTTCCAACATCACTGTCCGCAACCAGGAGTTTGTGTCGAGCACCATGTCGGGCATCACCTTCTTCCTTCTGCCCAACATGCTTTAGTCCGATAACCATCTTTGAACATGTTTGTATTTCTGCTTTCTAAGACTTTTTTGGGGATGTTCTCTATAAATAGTTAATTTTTGATCTTATTTTCTTTATCTTTCCTCTTCCCCAAAGCTTTGCGTTGTGGTTTTTCCGAAGAACAAGAACAAATCTCTTTACGGGATGAGATTGGATCACTTATATATATTCGCTTATGTTTTCTTCTTCTTTAATTCTTAATATTTTTAGTCTTTGCTTTCTTGTTTCTTTTTTCTTTGCCATTTTCGAATTTATGTCCTTGATTTTTAGGGATTCTTGATTTTTGATGAGCAAACTGTTTCATTTGACGTTTAAGGATTATTAGGGTATTAGATCTTTGATTAGCTCTTCTTTTGTGACTGCTCTTAATGCCTAGTACCTCTTTGTTGGAGAAGTTGATCTTAGATTTTCACTTGCACACAAAATACATTTTTTTTTATTTGATATCACAGAAGTTTTACGAGTAAACTTACTTAGTTACGAGTAAACTTACTTCATTTCATTAAACTAAAAATTAAACATTTGTTTGGAGCCATCACTAGTAGAGAGCCCTCGTTGCCAAAGAGCCTGCTACTTGATTGTCTTCTCTTGGTACATTATTCAAGGAAACAAATTCCAGAGAAAAATAAAAATATGACGAACAACTCCTTCTGTTTGGTGACTGACTCCATTAATATCGTTGATGAGTTTTTTGGAACCCAGCCTTGCTGAGTTCTTGTCGATCTTCAACTCTTTTGCCTGTGCGATTGCTTCCGCCGTTAAAGGTGATCTAACCTAACCAGGAGATGAGATCGCGATCCAGGGGCTGCAAAATGAGAGATCTGATTTTCAATTACCCAACCAAAACCGCAGCACCGGTTACCTCCCTCCACGCCGCTTCGAAATTGCAAGTTGTCATATCCGCCGTCGTCACCTTTGGCCGGTAAGTCGGACTCCGGTAAGTCTGTGCTTTAGTCGATTCATTTTTGAGCGTCTGAGATTGAATTGCTTGAGCCTAATCGCTTACGATTGTTGAAGATTTTCTGATTTCAGAACAAATCCAATGCGAGAGAGGTCCATTTCCCGGCACCCAACATGAGGTCAGCAGATCTAATCTCTCAATTCTCTCTCAGACCTATGTGTAAGCTATTATAGATGATTAAATGTTCATTTGTTAGCCATGAAGATCTTAAATGCTCGCAGATGTTGTATTTTAGTTTTCTGAGCTGTTAGTTCATATTGATACTACAGTACACTGTCACAATTACAGTGGATTATGTGCATTCTATGTGATATAGTACTACTAGTCTTTCCTTGGATACTCTTTACTTTTATCAGTTTAACAATGATCAGTATGAGAAGTACAATATGGCGTAAATATGTTATACATGTAACAGCTCCAGTTCTTAAGGATGCTTAGAACATTACCTACAGTATCAGTAACTATTTAGCTTGATTTTCTTGACTAGGTTTGGATCGAATAGTTCAAGTTTGGTATTTGGATGTTGTTAAGTTCTTTCAAGGAGAGTATTACAATGTAGGAATGTAACTGATTGGTATTTTAGGTATTCTTTTTGTGAGTTCAATACGAGAATTGGTAAATGACAGGGAATCTAATACATTTTATCATGCTTTAGTTTGCTAATTAAGTATATCTCAAATGTTCTATTTCGGCTTCGTGAACTTAATTAAAGGAGTTTTGAGAACATAGGTAAGTAGAAGTTACCGTCGAATAAACAATCATGAATAAGAGTGCATTTCTGAAGTGTTTTCCTAATATTTATAGTTGAACAAAAGATGAAGGCTTGTGTTAGTATGGCTTTTTACGTTATTTGATGGACTAAGTAGAAATTTAAAACATGTGTATACACATACGCTTGGTATCTGAAAATAAGCTCGACTTCCATAAGTAGAAGCTAAAGCATATGTGTCACAAGTCGACGATGAAATAATTGTGTTATAATATGAATGATAATTGTACTCCACGTCTCCACCACTTGTATCTGTTAGTATCGTGCATGATTTTCTTGACCAAAAGATTTGCTACATGTATTTTACTTTAATTTGGTAGCTGAATACGTTACATGTTAATTTTCTGGATACTAAGGAGAGATTTAAGAGCATACGCAAATGCTGAGGTTTCACTTTTCACTTATAAGTAATTTTTAAAAAATATACCAATTCAGATGATATGAAATGATTATATAGTTTGCATTTGTACAAATCTGACTATCAAGCTGTTGCTTTGCAATCAAGTAGAGTTTTAGACGTCATGGTTATATAAATTTGATGCCGTATACAACTCTATACCCTAATTTGACAGCTGAGTATATCACAGATGTCATAAATTAGATTACTGATTTTCTCTAAAGAGAGATATAAGAACGTAGGCCAATATATATATACTTTACTGTGACAAATACGAGGCAGAAATGGAACACATGCTGATTTTCTGTAAGTGTTTGCCTAATTAGTCACTGAAGTTAAGACTTAGAAATGATCTTTGGGATCAAATAACTATCTTACAAAAGATTTGTTAACACTAGTTTCACTAAGCGGAGGCTTCAAAATTAGATCTGTTACCCTGAGTGATTTTCACATTTGAGGATTGATCTTAGACTAAGGAAAGGTATATGATGATAAGTTTCTTTAATTGCATCTTATGAGATTGTTTTAAGTTTTGTTTCTTACATAAATATTTTTACTTTAGTAAGCATTTTGTGTCTTAGTTGCTTGCTGTACCTGTACTAAGAACCATAATAGTTTAGGGTTCACTGTGAAATTGCTTGATCTGTTGTCTCTCTCAAAGGGTTTGTAGCTTTGTTGGTTACTCTGAGTTGTAACAGACAGTAATTCGCTTTTGGTTGGTTTTTCATCAATTGAGTAATAGGAGTTGCATTGTGATAGAGAAATATTTGAGTACTTTAAGATTGTTCCTTTACCAAATCTGACTAGTGTTTTCTGGGTCGCCTCAAATATTTTACAGATTGCTGATTGCCTCTGAGGAACTGAAACACAGGGTTTTTGAGGTTTCTCTTGCTGATCTTCAAGGAGATGAGGATCATACTTACAGGAAGATCCGTCTCAGAGCTGAAGATGTTCAGGGCAAGAATGTGTTGATCCAATTCATATAAAACTTTGTAATTTGGTTTTGCAAGTAATAAAACGATGTTTAGTTTACAATCCTTTTAGGGCATGGATTTGACAACCGACAAGCCTAGGTCTTTGAAAACCAAAGACAGCTACACCCTAAGGCTGTTCTGCACCGCCTTCACAAAGAGGCGTGGAACGTACATTACATACAGCCAAACCCGCCAGGTAATAACAGTTTAACATGCATACACTACATAACAATATAAACGAATAACGATTATATTTACGGTTTGTGTATTGATTACATACTTCAGAGTCTTTGATTAGTGTAAAGAGTGATAATTTACATTAAATAACCATCGTATAAACTTTCGACCTATGTTCATCTACACACATTTTATGTCTTCGATATTATAATACATCATGATGAGATATACCTTAAAAATTCTTGTTGGAAACAAGTATGAAACCTGATCTTAAACTTATGTATGATTCAGTCGTTTTCCACATAAAAAATTTAGATAGAAAAAAAAAATATATCTATCTACAAAACAAGAAAAGAAATAAATCTCTCTGTTTTAGGAAAATTAATTATTTATATCTGTGAGAAGACTGGATTCACATTTTTTCTTTGACATTTTTGGTTTTTAATATTAAAACAAGAAAATCTACTGGCACTAAATGGCCAAGAGAAATAAAACGCCAATTTGAATATGGAAATAACTTTATTCTTTGACAATTTTGACTAAATACATTTATGAGTATACGAAAAAAAAACATAAGATAGAAAACATTGTAGATTTATACCATATTAAGTTTTCTTTTCCAACTAATTGACAGATCACACCTGTTAATCATTTTGTGGTGAGATTCTATATAAACTTACCTCATGAGGTTTTTTTTATTTACCACTTTAAGCACAATGAAAACGTCAGAAAAAAATATAGAATCTCACCACAAAATGATATAGAGAAGTAAAAAAATATAATTGAAGAATCCAAATTCATTGCTGCAGCATGTGTTTACTCGAGCATATTCATAAAACTGAAGAATCCAAGATAGAGGAAAAAATCTGAAGGTATTCCTTTTGATTCCGATTCTCTACGCAGAGGTATAAATCTTCTTGACCTTGCACATTGTCTTCTTTTTATTTGTTCTCATTTGCTTTGTACTTTTTATTCATGAGTTTTTTTTTGTCTCTCGTCTTTGAGTGCACCTCTTAATTTTGCATAGATATGATTTAGGCACAACATGAATTCGGATTCTTCAGTTTGATAAGTTTGTTGTGGAGAAACCATTTTTTGTTGTTTTTAACATGGTCGAAGTGTCTATTGGGTACTTTGGCTTTGATTTTGATTTTGATTTTCCTATACTCTTCTCCAGCTTCTTTGTAATTTTGATAAATGGGTGGGAGTGATTTATCGTCTGCATAGTGTTCGGATATCAGATTTAGGGCCATTTAGTGTTTCTAGGGCATGAGTTGTTTGTACATAAGTACTTAACTTTTTTTTAAAGGTTGATAGATTCCTTATCTAAGACTTCATTATCTCCATTCATATTTATAAGCTTGGTATTTAACGTTCAAATGTATCTTTTAACCACTTAGGTTTTTATTGATTTAGAATTGTTATCACCATTTTGATTTCTGGATCCCACTTTCTGCTTTGTAATGTTTTTCTTTGATTAGTTTCTTCTATGTTGCAGCATTGTGTAAGAGCACTGTTGCAAGTATGGGGTTGTTTCATTATCTAATCATTCTCTCGGTCTTGCAGGAAGTGAACGGACATAAACATAATCTTGTGGCACTATTTTGACGAAAGAAATGACACAAATGGACGAATCGAGATTGAAGAACAGTACAGCTAGAAGAGCAAAAGCCACTGCTGTGGAAAAGTTGAGAGATGGTGATCTTGCTGGAGCCAAAGAATTTGCAGCCAGGGCAAAAGAACTGAATCCGTCGCTTAGTGGTCTTCTCTGTCTTAACGCAGTTCTTGATGTCTTGATGGGTTTTGAGAAGAAAATCAACGGTGAAATCGATTGGTATGCTGTTTTAGCGGTCGAACCAACCGCTGATGTTGATACGATCAAAGACCGGTACAACAAATTGTCTATGGACATTATTACGGACGGTGACAAATCTGTGGGTGGCATTATTGAAGCAGAGAATATATTGGCTGAGACTTGGAGAGTTTTGTGCAATGAAAAGAAGAGGAAGGCATATCACAAGAGACGCAGTATCCCAAATGTGTTCATGGGTACTAATTCATCAGCATCAACAACGGCAGCAACAGCAGCAGCAACAGCGTCAGCATCACCATCACCCTCACCAGCATCATCAGCATCATCAACAGCAGTAGGAGCATCAGCATCATCATCAGATGATAGTAGCTTCCGGACAAAATGCCCTTATTGTAGCTTTCATTACCAGTTTCTAGAGAGCCACAAAGGTCAAAGGTTTTTTTGTGTTAGATGTGAAGATGCATTTGAAGTTATTGAGCGTCCAGATGCATCGACGAGTCATGTTGATCTATGGAGTTACAAGAAGAAGACGATCATGAGAACGAATGAGGTTCCAATCCCTGGCTCGGATGCTATTTCGGTGGTTTCGCCGACGTCTATTGAACAAAGTCCTCAACATATTCAACTGAGAGTTACAGGTAGTATAAATCAGCTAAGGAGAGGCAGTCAGGTTCCAAGCTTTACTTATACTCCGGTGATTTTTTCGGCGCCTAAACCTGTGGAGAAACCTCAGAGACTTTTCTATCCCCAGGTGGTGATGGAAGAAGAAAATGAACAAATGGTGCAAGAAACTCCAATGAGAGTTCCAAGTTATGTTAACCAGCTAAAGAGAGGCAGTCAGGTTCTGAGCTCTACTTATACTCCGGTAATCTTGTCGGCGCCTGAACCTTTACATCCACCGCAGAGATGTAGTAAAGGAAAGGAACCAATGGTTCAACCTCCTTTGAGAATTCTCGATCAGGATCCCAACTTAATTCCGGTGGTTTTGCAGCCTAAACCTGCTCAAAGACTGAAGATGTTTGATGGAGACGAGGAAAGAAATGGGTGAAGTGAATGTGGAACAGTTTGTTATGTCAGGGCCTAAATATGTAGGAAAATCTCACAGAGTTTTGGATCGCCGAAGAAATGGTTGAACCTCCATTGCAAGCTTCTGGTCTTGTAAACAAGTTAAGGTGATTAGCTGAGGAGATGGTTTGGTGAAGATTATTAAACCCTGTTTTCTTCTTTTTCTTCTGTTTTTATTTTATTTCAGGATTTGATTCAAGAAACTTTAGTGAAGCTGAGTTAGTATCAATATGATACTGATTCAATGACTTTATCTTTGCTTTTTAATTTTTGTTTTTGAATGTTGTTGGATGCTCGTTGAATATTATATGGTATCTCGAAGCAGGTGTATCTGATTGGAATTGGAATGAGAATTTGATTTTATATTATATCATTTTAAAATTTGTACAGTATTTCTATATATGTCAAATATTTCTTTTTTTTTTTTCAAATAATTATATGTCAAAGTTATTATGTAATTTACAATGGGATTTGAAACTTCTATACTATATAAACTTCTGTTTTCTTCTTTTTCTTCTGTTTTCTTTTTCTTTTAAGATTTGATTCTAGAAACTTTAGTGAAGCTGAGTTAGTATCAGTATGATACTGATTCAATGACTTATTTTTGCTTTTTAATTTTTGTTTTTGAATGTTGTTGGATGCTCGTTGAATATTATGGTATCTCGAAGCAAGTTTATCTGATTAGAATTGGAATGAGAATTTGATTTTATGTTACATCATTTTGAAACTTGTACAGTATCTCTATATATGTTAAATATTTTTTTTTATTTTTCAAATAATTATATGTCAATTTATGTGATTTACAATAGGACTTGAAACTTCTATACTATATACAACCTCTATTTTTTTCTTTTTCTTCTGTTTTCTTTTTCTTTCAAGATTTGATTCAAGAAAATTTAGTGAAGCTGAGTTAGTATGATACTGATTCAGTGACTTTATCTTTGCTTTTTAATTTTTGTTTTTGAATATTGTTGGATGCTCGTTGAATATTATGGTATCTCGAAGCATTTTCTCTGATTGGAATTGGAATGAGAATTTGATTTTATGTTATATCATTTTAAAACTTGTACAATATCTCCGTATATGTCAAATATTTCTTTTATTTTTTCAAATAATTATATGTCAAAGTTATAATGTAATTTACAATGGGACTTGAAACTTCTATACTAGGTGTTGACCTGCGCATTTACACATGCCTAAAAATATTAAATAATACTGTTTTTTTGCAAATAAATAGGCAAATACAGAGATTTTTAGGTAGACATTGAAAGAAAACAAATAAGGAGAAAATTATGAAAACATATTAATAGAATAGCATCCAGCTAAAAGTGTACATAGAAATTTTTACCCAAAAAAAACCATGTATTCGACTATATAACATACATGTTCACACTAATATACAATACGCAAGGCTAGTAGTATTCCCAATTATAAATGTGGTACTCGTAATCTCCTTTACAAGACTTGATTTAGATGTGGTACTCGTAATCTCCTTCACAAGACTTGATTTAGAATAACTGATTTATGGATCATTCGAACCACACTTTGCAATTGCAACCTCTTCATCATATCATAGCCATAATTAAATCAATAAAATGATTAAAGATATAATAACTAATATAAATGATTTATAGTATATATGGTAATATTACTTATCACGAAAACAATGAACATCAGCTATATCTGCATTAAAAAGAAACTCACAATACTTGTTCCTTGCAATGAAATTTATAATGCCTGTACAAAGAATACAAACAATAGGTCATGAGACAACACATATGACTTGACTAAAATGAACAAACATAGATTAATGTATTTTTACAATACCATCATATTGTTTGTTGATACACCAACCACTCATCGGGAAAGTCCCAGAACCCACAATGACTAAAGAAAGCGGAGCTGCCCAGAGGCACCATACAGCAAAAGTCAGAAGACGAAACAAAGCGGGGAAGAGACCCCTTCCCCCGGAGCTGGGTCGGACCGCCAGCCCGGGCTGTCACTCTTGAATTGGCCTGCCCTGAAACCTTTGCCCCATAGGTGTCGAAGTAACAAGGGCTGATCCCCGTTGGAGTCTAAGACCCAAACATGTCGACAGTGCCCGTGCTTCGGCATGCACCATCCAGTCAAATAAAAATCTCTCCCGCCACTGACACCAGCCGAGACCAAAGAATTCCTTAAACCTTGCACAAAACCCAACGTTGGGGGGGGGGGGGCAAGGAAGCTCCAGACAGTCGAGTTTGACTATTCGTTCTCTCTGCAGGACAACAAAATGCTAGATAAAACGTGCATCCGGCCGATTCTAGCAATCAGCTGAGAGAATTTCTGGTGCCTGCCCTGGGCCAAGGAAGCCAGTTCGTGGGTGCAATGAGTCAAGACATATAACAGTTATTAAAGGCGCACATCGTTTATTCCAGAAAGCCAACACAATAAAGACGCGAAGAAAACATTAAAGAAAATTAAGTTTTATTCATATGGCGAACCCCGAAGGGATGAAGCTTACAACAAGATTCGAAGGGATGTACCGTCATACATGGCGAGGTGAAAAATAAAAGGAGGTGAAATCTCTGAAGACAAATCTTGACAAGAAGAGGGGTTGGCTAAAAAGAGCACATAGAAGAGGAAACAACATAAGAAGACCGCAACAGAAGAAGAGCCATCACATGGAAGGTTGCTCTGTACCGACACTTAAGGGAAATGAGCCGCCAAAGAATGCAGGATAGAGCCGATGCAACATCCACATTGTGTCATGGCCCAGCGATCAGATCAACATCGAGGGTCAAAACAAGAAGGACAAAGGAGATCGGACGTGTTGCCCCACCAGAGATCCCCCACCAGAGCCATCCTCTCCCTCAGACTGTCTGAGAGATCCGGATCTTCTCCCCGTCGTTTGTCACTACTGTTTGACGCCCTCCTCAGTGATGCACCACCGCGAGTGGCCTTCACCGCCCGGGCCGCCTGACTAGAGAATGAGATCAGATTCTCCCGGACAGTCCAGATCTCCCCCATAAGAGCGTCGACCCAACATCGTTCCACATGCAAGCACTTTTAAAAGGAGGAAAACCTGGAACCCGATCGAGAAGCCGATAGACCCTCCCCTGTAATTGAAAAGCCGGCGCCCGTGACGCACTGAGAGCCCGCCTTAGGATGCAACCGCTGCATCTCCTCAAGGGCATTCTCCTCCCGTTTCTGTACCCACATGAGGGAATCCCTAAGATACGCCATCGACCCGATCTCCTTCGCCTGACCATCGATAGTCAAGTGATATCATCATTATTTACATCCTTTTTCTGCTACTTTCATAATAGTTATGATTGAGTCATTTCATTTAGATCTTAGTTCTCGTCTCATATTCACTCATGTATGTTTATATTGCATTATGATAGAATTTTTTATATGTCTGCATGTTTGGAGGTGTTTTCAGGTGCCTATGTAGTCACGAGGATGGAAAAGAAAGGAAGGAACACAAGGAGAGATAAGCAGAACCGGATGGAAGGAGATAGACGTTTTGCTGCACAGCATCGGGTAGCATCCACGTGATGGTTAGCACGAGAGTTGCACCACTATTATGTTCCACGATATGACCCCGGCGCACGAGCACCATAGTAGACAATCATTAGAGCAACATCAGGCAAGAGTGACGACATGAAGCCGATATGGAGTCCACAATCCCATACAAGATGAGTCAGCACATTGGCAACAATCATCTTCAGCGGCATCAACTTGTGGATTTGCTGCACGCCAAGAGATGGCTATTTCGGGTAATGTGGTTCCAGCGTGTAGGGTACCCTATAAATACTCCTGTCCACTCATTTGTTTACTCGCTCTCGCCCCCAATACAAACCATAACTCTTTAAGTTTTTGTCTTTATTCACTTTAGTTTTCTTGTTTGTTTTGTATTCGCCATTGTTGCGATTCAAAGCTTGAACCTTTAAGTATTTGCAATTAATTCAAATCTTTATTTTCATGCATTTCGTGTTAAAGTTTTAATCTTTTGTAGTTTCCTCCTTACCTCTACTCGCACCCTAAGCCAACAATGAGCCTTCTAATCCTTATGGATTTTGGAGCTCCTTCCATGGCGTGTGAGTAGTGTCCTTTAAGAATCTAGATGGGGTAAAAGGAAAAAGGGTCCTCCGATGATTTACTTAGCTTAGTCTTTACTTAATGCTTGATTCTTCTTTATTTATCACTCCTCATGCGTAATTTAACTTGATCACTTAGACTATAGCCAATAGGCGTCCCACATGAATTCCATGTGTGGGATTAGCCGGAACCATACTCAAAGGTGAGACCTTTCCTAGCCTAAGACATTAACTGTTTAGGAGGTCTTACGATTCTAAAGAAACGGCTCTTCCCTCTTGCTTTCATAGTTGTACAGCTAAGTCAATGCTAGTCTATGGTGACGACCCAAATGCCATGGGCTAGTTAACTTGGAGATCTCTTTACTTAAGAACCACCATCAAAGACCAAGTCTTGATGTGATGTATAGCTAGCTCAGTATTTGAATCCAGAGGATCCCCAGTCCGAAAAGACTCATCTTTATCTTTTCTCTTAGCATAAAGTTTACAACTTTTCAATCGCTTAGTCATTATTTTCTTGTTAAACCCATTTATTATAGTCGTTTAGATCTTGTTAGACTGCTTGAGTGACACAAGTTTAGTCTTTGTCTTCATCTTTGGTGTGGAAATACCCAATCTTTATTTAGCTTAACTTATCTCTACTTTTACAACTTCATTGCATTAACAACCCCGATAGATTGATAACCCCTTAACCGCTATATTATACACTTTATAGCCGGTTTTAGAAACTTTGCTGAACCCTTTTTATAACAGAAATGGCGTTGTTGCCATAAGGGTCTAGTTAATCATTAGAGTCCTTGTAGAGCTAAGGCCAAGTTTCTTTCTTTCACCTTACTAACTTATCTTCTTGCAAAATTTATGTGTTCAGGTACATGAACTTCAGGTCCCAATGAACAAACAACATCGTTCCACTAATTGATGAAATACAACCACTCAAACGTTCAGTATGAAACTGTTATAAATCTAGAGAACGAGTTGACCGTGAGTACCGAGAGGAAGTAGATCCGAATAACATACAAGGTCTCCAAGGAAACGATGGTGCTCAAGGCCAACAAGGACCCCAAGGTCCTCAAGGAGCATAAGGTGTGCAAGGTCCTCAAGGCCACAACGGTGCTCCGGCTAAACAACAAGCTGTTCGCCAAAT